CAATGCAGAAATCAACGGATAAGGAAGGCGTTTCTCGGGTTATTTGAAATGGGCTGCTTTTTCATCGTAAATTCTTCCTTTAACCCATTCGCGACCGCGCGGATTGCGCAATAGCAGGAGAGTCAGGAGATTTTTCTTCAATAAAATTTGAGTGGATGGAGATTTCCTCTGCCCAGGGCTGGCGTAGATGAATGAGGGTATGAAGATTCTTTTCAGGAAAGAAAACTTTCCAAATTCCATTTGAAACACGGCAGCCACCGGTGGATACCATTGTACCGAGTGAGATCTTTGTCAGCCACCGGTGGCTGCCATTGTCACGAATGGGTTAAAAAAGCAAAAACAATGTGCAAATCAATATCTGCTGCAGCCAACATGGAAATGGTGGTAAATTTGAAGTAAGATCTAGTTTGCTTATTGTGCGTGGGTCACTGAGAATCGGGATTCAGAAGTGAAACATGCCCTTAGCACAGTAAAGAGGCACCGTAAGTCATGTGGCGTCGCGGCGGTCAGCGTCAGATATCTCACTGCTCATCCTTACTACGAGAAAATGGGCGCCAGCAATGCGAGGCGCTCTCGGTATGAAAGGGGAATCTAAAACAGGTAAATGCATAAGCATGATATGGATAGGACACAGGTTCCAGGATAGGCAAGGGTGAGCGCGATGAGTACCCGATTTATGACCATCCTACTTCCCTCACCCAGGGTCAAGCGTGCGTTGAGGAATCCTCGACAGGTCACAGGGGGGGGGGTCGTATTGGCCCGCTGGGGAGAGATCGGGCCCGATTGATGCAGTAGGATCATCGTCGGAGGACAAACATCAAGGATCGAATCGATGCCAGGCCAGAGGATTTCCAATAACAATGTTATTCCGCCCACACAAAATTTTCGTGATTCAGAGGTGTCCGCTAGTAATTCTTAGTTACTTCAGTGTTTTATCACCACACAGTTAAAGAATCCGAATTCGCACGTTTTCCAAGGATATTTTATCTTTCAAGTGAGTCCTCGAATCTGAAGGGATGTGAAGCACACGGCGCATCCCAGAGTGGGCCCAGTTGGTTGCGCGCGCTTCAACTACGGCTCTCTGGAAAAAATCTCAATTCAGGAAAAATCAAGAGGATTCTGAAAGGGTTCATGTGAAATTACAGGGAGGAGTACACTATTCAACAAGAAATGCAGCCTTCAGCGTCAAATTCATGAACATGTAACCTTAAAGTTGAGATTCGCTAAACAATTTTACACTTTTGGAAAGAGAAAAGCAGTGATTCCAAATCTGCTCTTACTTTAGTACATAATCGCCCCTGAAAGGAGCTATAGTCGTTGAAATAGTGCCAATGCAGCGAAAAAGTACCTTTCGGCGGTACTCGGGCAAAAATCCTCAACGTGGCCATTTTTTAAACTGGACGTTTGAGCAGTTCTAGTAACGTTGAATAGAGCAAATCTTCTAGTTTATGATGGCGTATTAACTTTCCGATTGGACGGAGTTATGCTTTGAAAGCGTAAAAACTCGCTCTCATCATGAATTTTCCTCGTTAATCAATCTAAATTTGTTATTTCTTATAATTTTTGTAATTTCAATACTGATTAGAAAGATCTTCACAAAACTTCCAAATCTGCTTTCAGATTGAAAATTCGTCATATTTGAAGAAAGTTATAATCATTTGAATATTTGTTCAAATTTCAATAGTAATAAGCTGCTCCACGGTCAACGCCAAAGATCAGTCAACACACAGCTGGCTAAGGCGGTTACAAGGCTTCTTTCAACCGAAAGGGGACGTGTAGAATTGAGAGCATACTCTGTGTAGTACTAAAATTTGGTAAGCCTTCCAAAGGAAGTAAAGGAAGAAGAGATGCTGCCATAGTCTGCTTTTTTCATGACTAGTTCGTCGTTTTTTGCTCCATTTATTGGTAGGACTCATTGATAATGATCTTTTTTGACTTCTTTTTTCTACTTTTGTACTTGTTGAACGAGTTTTTGGTGGAGAGGGGTAGCAGGGCTTTTTTATGAACAGTTTTGGTGGAGAATTAAACAACTTTTCATAGTTCGGCTTTTGAAGAGGGTCGTTTCATGGACTTCGGCCTCTGGCGGAGGGAGGGGGGGTCGTATTTCAAAATTTTCCTCGACGCCTCGCTTGACCCTGCTCCCCCCCTTCCCCCCTCCCCCACCTCGCCCCCTCGTCCTACCACTCACTCTGCAATGCTCCAATGAATGAGTATTCGTAATGTATGAATCAAGCGATCTCAGAAGTACAGTGCGCGTCAATTTTTTCCAGTTTTCTGACTTATTTGGAAATTTCGTAAATCGGCATAGCAACCATCGTTTTCGGCGTGTCGGAAAACTAAGAATGGTGTTGTTTGATTTTGGTTAACGCGTGGATTTGAATTGCTCTGTTCTTTTGAAGAAAATGGGCCGCGTCAATTGCTTATGCCATCCTAAAGTTTCTTCAGAATTTCTCATGTCTCTAACGCTATTCAGCTACGGTGTGCATGTAATACAAATGAGGAAATCCTCCACTTATGCAATGCACACAAATGGTGGAGCATTTATAACTAATTAGTTCGGAATATTAGCCCTTATACTGGACGGTAGCAGCATGAAAACGCTTTATCAGAGAAAGAGCTGTGTGCTCACTTTTGCGATCGCTCCTGCTGCTTATTGTAGAACTCATCGAGGAGTGTATCCAGGCAAAACTGGGGAAATTGAAGTGCTCAAGGAGCTCTTAAATTCTCATTTTCCCGCTTCGAATCCGTGGTCAACTTTATTTGTGGTCTCGGCTCCCTGCGAAGCTCGAAGCGTTCACGCTCACAAAGTCTCTGTTCAGAGAGAATATGAGTTGCACTCACAATCCGCGTAGTACCCATCGCCGAACTTTGTCGGATTCTCTCTGGAAAAATTTTCGTACCGAGCGAGCGAAAATGATGACATGGGCCAGTTGTAACTTGAACGGGACACCGAAGTGGTGGCATGGGCCATCATTGCATCGCCTTGATAAGAAAACTTCGATCGAGTTCAGTGATGGGTACCAGACGGGTAGTACGAGTTGTTCTCTCTAAAAAGAGACTTTGTGAGCGTGAACGCTTCGAGCTTCGCAGGGAGCCAGACCACAAATAAAGTTGACCACGGATTCGAAGCGGGAAAATGAGAATTTAAGAGCTCCTTGAGCACTTCAATTCCCCAGTTTTGCCTGGATACACTCCTCGATGAGTTCTACAATAAGCAGCAGGAGCGATCGCAAGAGTGAGCACACAGCACTTTCTCTGATAAAGCGTTTTCATGCTGCTACCGTCCAGTATAGGGCTAATATTCCGAACTAATTAGTTATAAATGCTCCACCATTTGTGTGCATTGCATAAGTGGAGGATTTCCTCATTTGTATTACATGCACACCGTAGCTGAATAGCGTTAGAGACATGAGAAATTCTGAAGAAACTTTAGGATGGCATAAGCAATTGACGCGGCCCATTTTCTTCAAAAGAACAGAGCAATTCAAATCCACGCGTTAACCAAAATCAAACAACACCATTCTTAGTTTTCCGACACGCCGAAAACGATGGTTGCTATGCCGATTTACGAAATTTCCAAATAAGTCAGAAAACTGAAAAAATCAGGGGGTGGCATATACAATTGACGCGCACTGTATATGTCTCAAAACTCATTCTAATGGAACGCAGGGAAGGCTGTCCGTCGACGGAAGACTCATTTGCACTTTTGCAAATTCAAATTCGGCAACGTGTCGTGACTGTGAAGAATCTTTTGGCTATTTGCATGCGAGGGATGAGAAAATCCCTTCTGTCCTTCAGGACTTTTTGGAGCTGAAATATGACATATCGACTTAATGCAACTTGTTATATAGGTGAAGCGCGAGTAAGTGATGCAACCCGTTGTACTCCTACTCCTATAAACGGTGCTATATGAAGTACTTCTATATAATCGTATTTCAGTTGCTTTCGTGCCTTGAGGCATGTTGGCTTGAACTTCCTGAAATGCGTCCAAATATCAAAAAGGTCAAAACGATGGTGAACGCAAATTTACGCTCAACGTAAGACCATTTCCTTCTAGGAACCGTGTTCTAACTCGGCGTTCTGTTTCCTTAATTGTTGAATTTTAGCGGCAAGGGTTCACTTGTCGATCAGATGATGAAAATGATGGAGGAATACACTAGTAATCTAGAAAACATGGTTCGAGATCGGACGGCACTACTTGAAGAAGCACAGAAGCAAGCCGATCGATTATTGAACAGCATGTTGCCCAAGTGAGGGTTTGCTAGCCTTTTTCAAAGATTTGCTGTACGCTACTCAACAATTCTTATTCCCAAACACATGGGGAAAATGTGATACTATAAAAGTGTGAGTGGTTAACCTGAGGCTGAGTAGAGTGCGATCCCAGCAAATGTTTTTTGCATAATGCACTCTGACCCACTTTAACATTTACACTAAGAAAAACTAAAGCACCATACCTGCTCTCGAGCCTGGCTTGTTGACGTACGGCATGGGCTTTTTCAAAGGTGGATTTCACTATACTATCGGAGATTGAACAAGAGAGAACGTGCCGAGCGAGGATTTTACTATAACGTTGAAAATCGAACAAGAGGAAACATAGCCAAAAGACAGATAGGATCCTCAAGGGTTCGAATCGATGCGCGTTTTGCAGCGAAGAGTTCTTTTGCCATCTGACTCTAGCCATCAAGCAGAGAGAGCACCGTTGATGAGGACAGCATTGACAAGGTTCACATCAATGCGGGAAACCATGAACAAAGAAGGGGTCCAATTTCTCTCCTCTGGGGCGTTTCTCATGTTTTTTTTTGCTGACCACGTCTGCCTCAGTTTTGAAATAGCTACCTTTTATAGGGACGCCTTTAACTTGGATTGGGCCATGTGCCTTGTGAAACACTCCAACTCCTCCCCAAAATCCAAAACTGCCATCGAGCAGAAGTGCGAGTGTACAAATATGTACATAGGGATGGGCTAAGGGCATACACGCTCATAAAACAGTAAATTCTACATATCACACCTATTCAAGCACTTTTTAGTGGGAATTGATGGGAATTCTTCTATCGCAAAAGCGACTCCCCGCAAACTTCATTCCTTTGCATCACGACTACGATCGTTCCCCCCATGGGGATTTATCAAAGGACGGTATCGACCCTTATTTCGTTTTACGCGTGCTCTTTGAAGGTTTCCGAAAAATAGTCTTCGAAAACAAGTATATTCACTTACGCACTTGCTTCATGCGTGACCCATTTCATTACTGCATATTCTGCCCATTCAACCTAATTCACCACCAGTTTTCTCGTATTTAGAATTGAAATCACTGAATCTGCAAATTCTTGTTTAGAATTTATAAGGCGTGTTCTTTCTTACAGTCTAAGGGAAAAAAAGCCAAGAGACAATATTTCTCTGTTAGTGTTCTATTTTCTTTTCAGAAGCGTAGCGGAAGATCTCAAAGTTGGAAAGCCGGTCTTACCTCAACTTTATACCTGCGCTACGGTGCTATTTTCTGATATTCGAGGTAACAACTTTTTTCACAGTGAAACATTACAACCTACGCAAACAAAAAGGCTTTTTCGCAGTTGCGCTATTAGCAGCATGAGGAACTAATGTTATGACATAATGTTCATGACTGAAACAAAATCATACACTCGGTTTCTTGAAAGAAAGGAGCAGTGGGAGGAGCTTAGTGAATGACTGCAATTTTGCCATGGTATCATTGTCTATTTATTTATTACTTATTATTATTAAGTATTCTATAGCAATACTGTGGGATCTGAAATTAGGCATAGGTTTGAAATATCTTACTTTACAAATCATGGTTACATCACATCATTGTGTGAGCACTTAGTACATTCCTGCAAAATTGTAAGGCTTGAAATTCGCCAATTCTGATGAAAGGAATGTGTAGTATGTTTCAATTAGAAAAATTGCTGAATAGCCAATTTGCCAGGGTTCCAAATCGATACGTATACAATCGTTTCATTGAAGCCGTTCTTGAACCTTTCCCATTCCCCTCTCCGCCAGAATACGAGCCATGAACGCTGCTTACCGCTGTCATTTCTCAAAGCGCACTGCGTTTTACTTCAGCTATATATTTTCGATGTTTTCAGGCTTCACCAGAATCTCATCGACGTCTACTCCTTTACAAATTGTCACATTCCTTAATGACATGTTCTCCGGATTTGACGCAATCATTGCTAAGCACGACGCTTACAAGGTGAAGTTTACATCTTAAAAAGTTAAAATCTCACGAAAATAAGCTTCTCGAGAAATGCCGCTTTGTTGATTTCGAACAGATTTTGCTGTAGTAATCAAGCAACACTTGAGATGATTTTTTCTTCGTATGTCTTTTTTTTGTCTTGCTATTGAAGGTTGACGAGCTGAATCTTCTTGCCCTCTTCTTAGTGACTACAGCTTGCCAACACACGGCGAAAAATAGCTTTTCCAGGTGGAGACCATTGGAGACGCTTACATGATTGTGTCCGGTGTTCCAAGTGAGAACGGCAACAATCACGTTCAGCATATCGCCGATGTAGCATTGAAGATGAGATCGGTATGGTTGCACTATACATAGATGTGAATATGTGAATAAACGGTTTCATTTCCAGTTTGTCTCAAACTTCAAACTGCAACATCGTCCTGATGAGGTGATGATGGTCCGCATCGGATTCCACAGCGGCAGTGTGGCGGCTGGTGTTGTTGGATTGGCAGCTCCAAGGTGGTGTTCAAATTTTGCTGATGACATTCGAAACCCCTGCTTCATTGCACTTTTTGATAACGTCGCACTTAAGCCTAGAATCCATTCAAAAGTTGATTCTGCAACTCCTTTTAGATATTGCTTATTCGGTGATACTGTCAATATGGCATCGAGAATGGAAAGCACTGGCGTTGCCAACAAAATTCAGGTAAGCAAAGGGCAAGAAACCCACTGGCATGGCGTGTGTGGTTGAGGTCAGGACCACGCCACGAGAAGACGATCAGCTAGTGGCCCTACTCTTTCTTTCCTCCATTGCGAAGAATACCAGCAGTCACTCAATTGTAAATGCTGAGGAGGGGGCAGGTTCAATCGAAGTTAGTAGTGAGGCTACGGCTGAGGTTGGTACCTGCTGTACGTGCTGGACTGCGATGACTACAGCTCAATAAACTGGGGTGTATATCAGTTCTTCTCTTCAGGATCGGGTTGGGGCACCTTTGAGCTTATGTCAATGCTAAGCCGAACCAGGAAAGGTCGTTTGGCCAATCTTACCAATTGAAATGATATTTATATATTTAACGCGCATTGAGACGCTGAGCTTGAATCTGCTTTCGTTGTCTGGTAAACGTTTCTAATAAATTGACAGACAATTTTGCATGCGGCGTTGCTGGACTCACGACAAGAGTGCTAGGATCAATTTCCCTGAGCGAGCTTACTCTAGCTTTAAAGTCACTTAGCAGGAGGTCTGCCAGCTGGCTAGTCCGTTATGTGTACTAGTTCCGCTGCATAAAGCATTCAAGTGCTGTTGAGAACGAATTTGGGCGGCATGTGCTCCCTTGCTAACTCGAGAGGCTCACTTAGGGCCGATGTCAGACTTTGCGAATCGCGCGATTCGCTAGCGTCTGCGGTCGCGTCGCGGCCAGTGAATCACTCAATTGGCTGGTACCGCAACGCGACCGCGGACGCTAGCGAATCGCTAGTAGCGAATCGCGCGATTCGCAAAGTCTGACATCGGCCTAGCGTCAACTGCCAGGCATTTCGCTGCGACAGTACGATATCCGTAGCATGTAGGTGGTCATGGCTCCCATTGTGGCAAATTTTTGGCAAATAGTATATTTATGTTGACTTGAAGCTCTGAAAATACGGACTATTACTTATCTTGCACTTTATTCTCATTCCAATTCTTACCAAGATTCAAATTCCTTGAATTGGGATTTATGAGATAAACGTTCTGAATACACTTTAAAGTGTTGATTAGGATGATCTGGCTTTGGACGCCTGCATATATTCCGGAGCCTGGCATAATTTCCGAATACAACCCCTTCCACCCCTTTCTCCCGTCGTCCATAATTGTCAACTCTAGACTTGCTGTTTGGGGAGCGGTACTCTCGCTTTTTCACAATCTTGAGAAGAGACCGCTATCAGCTGCGCCAGCGAAGCTCGGGAAACTGCATTTGCTGGACATTAATAACGGAGCTTACATGTGATTGCAGAGGCAAAACACTGAAAAGTAAGTACAACAAAGAAACCCCTTTGTAAATCCTTCCAGGAAGCGTTTAGGATACGAAAAGCAGATTTGAGCTCAGCGTCCGAACAAGCGAATTGAAATGAAGACCTGATTTCAATTGGCCGAGTTGGCCTAATGACCATCTCTGGTAAGCCTGAGCATGACCTTAAGCTTAAGCAGTAGTCAATGGAGGTGAATCATGGTTTGCAGAAGAGCACTCCATAACGCTCCCCAATTCTAGCGGTGACGCTCCCCAATACTAACGGTGAGAATAGCAATCCGCTCGTGACTCGTAATCGACTCAATAATTTACATTTGACAGGAATCGGTGTGATATGGGCAGCAGTCGTGAAATCCTTCACTTTCCACCTGCCATGGTCTAAGAAGCAGTCCTAAAATAGAGGACACACATATATGGAGGGTAAGGATGGACGTAGGGGGAGCTGGGTGGACCTCCGGGCAGGGTCAACCCTACGTTGTTACTAGTAACAACGGGGGGGGTCGTACCTGGTTGAGTTTATAGGAGGGGGGGGGGTCGTATCCGCTTCAGTCGCGTGAAAGTACATGTGAGTTTGTGGTGAAAGTGGAGTTTTCACGAGTAGTAGGCTAGGTGAGTTGGGAGCGCACGGGAGAAAAATTCGCCCCCCCCCTCGACGGCATTTTTGGAGGAAAAAGTGGGCGGAGTTTGGTGGGTTGAGTGGTACCAGAATTAAATACTATAGAGAGGAATATGGTGGTCGAGGGTCGAAAAGGGGGTCGTACCAAATCCACCTTGGGGGAGGGGGGTCGTAAAAATTTTTGAAAAAGTAACAACGATAGGACTGACCCTGCCTCCGGGTGCAATAAATTCGATGGAATTTGGACACGGAAAAGGAAGAATATGTATCTACTTTACGAAATACACGTTTCAATGACTTAAAATTTTACAGCTCTTTTGTTGGCATTCTTATATGACTCTTGACGCTTTGAGTGTACTATCACAGTTCTCATCCTCCCTGTTTTTTGGTTTCAGTTTAATATTTTGTTCAATTGCCGGGCCTAACTTGATGAGTGACGACTGTTCCTTATTATCGTTACCATGTGACCTCGCTATTGAAATTATTTGACAACCCCTCACTTCTGGGGCCGTATGGCATCCGTCCAAGGATGGGCTAATTACTTCAGACACCCTCACACAGTAAAAAAGAAAACGTAGTCTACAGCTGAGAGCCTTTTTTTATATTCAGTGACTAGATCCGTTCTTCAGATATCTGAACAATCACAGAACCTTCTTAAGTGCTTTTTCCAACAATTCGTCACGGTTGAACGAGGGAAAATAGAAGTGAAGGTGAGACCCACGAACCCCTGAATTTTTCAAGACCAAATTTTTCAATACCAGCATTTTTTAAGGGCAAAGGTGAGTGTACCACATTCTTCCTCGAAGGCAAAAAACCAGCACGATGATGGAATTAGCTCCGAGATGAAGATAGTCTGCAGCGCAGTGGAAAGATTGATACTCGTTCTTGATTCGCTTCCTCATTTTATTGTCATTCTTCACTCAGCCACAAAATTTCTTTCATTTTCGTTACTGTGTCGTGTAGAATCCATCGATGGTAGTACAGCTAGTATGTTAGTCTTTGTCCGATTAGATTATTGACTTTGTTCCTCATATGTGCATCTCTGAGAAAATTCCATTGTTCATGGCTTTATTGATTTTTGAAGCAACAGTCTCAGCAGAGTTCTTACCTTCGACACTAGCATAAAAGTGTGACTGAACAAAAACCCACCTTGAAAGCGGCTAGAAAGGGAGGAACGGCCATCGAAGTGGGCGTGGTTGCTCAGTCGGCTGAGGGGATTGCAGCCGACTGAGCAACCACGCCCACTTCGAAGCCGTTCAGCTCCCTTTCTAGCGGCTTTCCAAGGTGAGTTTTTTGTTCAGTCACACTTCTTATGTTCTTGACTAGGGCTAGCGCATCGTTCCACACCATTAGTGTCGAAGGTAAAAACCCTGCTGGGACTGTTGCTTTAAGCCTGAACTTTTATCTCGGTGAAAAAAGCGACAACATGGTGTAGGAACTTTGTACGCGCTAGATGAAAAATTTTTGAAAAGTAACACAAGATAGGACTGACCCTGTGCTCCGGGTGCAGATAAATCCAAGCTGAATTGACACGGAAAACGAAAGAAATATGTCTCTACTTTACCGAAATACAGATTTTAACAAATAGACTGTGAAAATTAATTACCGACTGCGTTTTTGATTGGCTATGCTTTAATATGACTCTTAGAGCTGTGGTCGAGTGTTACCTATCACAGTTCTCATCCTCCCTGTGTTTTTTGGTTTCAGTTTAATATTTTGTTCAATTGCCGGGCCTAACTTGATGAGTGACGACTGTTCGTTATTATCGTTACCACTATGCTGACCGTCGCTCTTTGCGAAATTATTTATTTGACAACCCCTCACTTCTGGGCCGTATGGCATCCGTCCAAGGATGGGCTAATTACTTCAGACACCCTCACACAGTAAAAAAGAAAACGTAGTCTACAGCTGAGAGCCTTTTTTTATATTCAGTGACTAGATCCGTTCTTCAGATATCTGAACAATCACAGAACCTTCTTAAGTGCTTTTTCCAACAATTCGTCACGGTTGAACGAGGGAAAATAGAAGTGAAGGTGAGACCCACGAACCCCTGAATTTTTCAAGACCAAATTTTTCAATACCAGCATTTTTTAAGGGCAAAGGTGAGTGTACCACATTCTTCCTCGAAGGCAAAAAACCAGCACGATGATGGAATTAGCTCCGAGATGAAGATAGTCTGCAGCGCAGTGGAAAGATTGATACTCGTTCTTGATTCGCTTCCTCATTTTATTGTCATTCTTCACTCAGCCACAAAATTTCTTTCATTTTCGTTACTGTGTCGTGTAGAATCCATCGATGGTAGTACAGCTAGTATGTTAG